AAACACAAGTGAAGTATTTTGTGCTTGCATGGCTTAATTTTTGGTGATGGTTGGTGATCTTTTGTGCTTAGTTTGATATTGCCACTAGGTTTTGTGGTTCTTTCATGTGCATAGAAACAGATGAAGAACCATGCCATCGCCTTGCTGTGTCTGAGCAGGAATCTTCCCAATGTAATAGATCTTGCTTCAGATATTTTAACTGAGAGTATAGTAAAGTTGCAGCAGTTGTACTTTCATAATGTTTTACTGCGTAGCATTGGTTTATATTTGAATGTTGTGCTTTACTAGAGCACATTGAATATGATGGTTGATGATGGAGTGAAATAGGAACTGAGCTCACTTTGGAGAGGAGCTGCCTGAAATTACAGTGAAATTGAGGGTCAGTGCAAAAAGATACATGCTCTGAAAGGCAGTATAGTCTAAGGAATTGAGATACAATTTTCACACTTGTAGTCTTGTAGAGTTCTATCTGATATCTATGGAGCTGCCAGTCTACCATGACTTGTCTTAGGCAAGAGATGCTGAAAAAATGCACTACTTGGCAGCCTTGCAAAGGATGTAGAATGTGTCTGTAAGAAAATCTGAAAAAGTAATTATCTGCCAGTGATGATGATAACAAATACAGTTTGCAAAGCTGTTTGTGCTTGAGAAATTGCGGGTTTCTTACAGAGCAGAAGAAAAAGAAAGAATCTGTGCTGTGATTGGCTTTCTGCAGCATTTCAGGTATTGCAACAGAAGGGAGTAACCAAACTATAACAAAAAGGTGGTTGCAGAAGAACATGGGGACAGCTGTGGAAAACTGCTTAGAATGTGTATTGTAATAGGAGACTTGAGATAAGTAATGAACTTCAGTTTTTAAAATGCTGGCCCCCGTTGCTTTTTGGTGTATTGAGGGATTATTCCTCAGCTTGCTTATCAGAAGACTATTACCTTTTGGAACTGCTTTTATCACTTTGTAGTGTTTGTGGGTGAGAGTTTTCAATGAAATGCAATTTCTTCTGTCTTGGAAAAGTAATGAAATCGGGTATGTTTCAATATTGGAATTTCTTATCCTGCAGTATGGCTCTGCACATCTTTTTTTTCCTCTTAGATTAGAAAAAAGAATCAAAACTTTTATTTATTTATGGAAATGTTTCTCTGAATAATTAATTAAAAAGCCTTGAAATGACTTAGCAAAAGGTTTTTAACTATATATTTCAGCATATTCAGTGGAGTGACTCAGTTTCTTTGTAAACTTGAGGAGTTGATTTATGAAGCATTTGCTAGAAACTTCTATCAATTTTAGCCTTTTTGAAGTGTTTTTAACAGGGTACTGTTGAATAAGGTCTGCTAGTATTGCAGGCAGGCAAAAGTATTTAACTTCAGTTGTTCTGCTGTTAGGATGTTGTTAGTTTGCTGTGGCAGCGCCAAGGAACCTTTTATGGTGTATTAAGCTGTCAAACAAACAACTTCTATCAAAGTAGAAAGTCAGTAGTGGAGTCACATGATTATTTTGCACCTTGGGCTTACACTGACAACTAAGATGTACCTTTGATACTAGAAGTCTGAAATGAGGATGTTTGGAAAAGAAGCTGTTCAGCTTATCAGGCACACTACTTATTTCCCCCCTTCTTGTTTGATTACCCTTTGGTAGATGCAAAATGACTCCTCCTTTTTTCCCCATCTTCTTGTAACTGCTGAATGTGTGTTCACCGAACACGTCCTGCTCCCTCCTAGGTATCCAGGGACATCTGTTAGAGTGAAACGTCAGTAAAACTAGTGTCACACAAATGTTGTCAAGAAGAAAAGTCAGAATGGTAGAAGATGGTGTTGCCATGGGACTTGCAATTACAGTCATCTTGGTTACTGCTTGTAGATACGGTTTGGAATACCTCCTCATTTTTGAAGTTCATGCTGTTTTGCTAATCTCCTTGTTCTCTCTTATCTCCAGCTATTCTGATCCTATAATGTACTTTCTGCAGTGTTGTTCTATATTGTGTGTGTCTTTTGAAATTTAAAAATCTTTCCACCTCCCCTTCTAACTATGACTTTGGAGTGGAGACTGTAAAATTCATATTTTAAGGTGGCTGGTTTCAGTCTGCAGCAACCTAGGAACAAATTATATGATAGTTCATATAACCAAATCCACTGTTGAGAGACAGGTATTAGTTTCAGGTTTGTGTGTAGCAAGTAACCTGACTGTGAGCAAATCCACTTACAGGCTTTGCTTTGGCAAAGTGACCTTCAGTAACTTGTTAGGTGCAGATTTCTGTAACTTTGCCAACCTTACTTTCTTTGGCAAGCATTTAAAAGAAGAAGATGTGAAATCTATTACTAAAGAAGATGATGTGAAACCTATTACCCATCTAAATTTTGAGGAGAACTGTGGAAGAGTACAGTTTTCTTATCTTGGTGTGCATTCCCCTTTTGCAGTTTTTGCTATTTATTTTTTTGTTTCTCTTTTCAGTGTTTGACTACAGCTATAGAGATTACATCCTGTCCTGGTATGGGCAACTCAGCAGAGATGAAGGGCAGCTGTACCAGCTGCTATCTGAAGACTTCTGGGAGATTGCCAAGCAGCTGCGACAGAGGCTGAGTCACGTTGATGTAGTTAAAGTTGTCTGCAATGATGTAGTGAAAGCTTTACTCTCACACTTCTGTGACCTTAAAGGAGCCAACGCCAGGTAAAAACAAAACTCTACATTTCATTGGCGTTTTCTGCTTCTCTCTTTGCTTTCACATGTGTTATATCAAAGTAATGAGGAGGGTAACGCTTTTGTATGCAACTGATAAAGAAAACAGTTCAAGTTTCCTACCAGTTTTAGAGATCAAGCAGGCTTCAGGGCATCTGTAAGACCTGTGGAAGGAAACGCTTGTCCTCCTTTTTCTCAGAGTTTGGATTCACTCATGTTTCCGTTTCATCCTTGAATCCTTTGCTCACAGTAGGAGGTGGGCTGTGTGAGCAGTTCCTGCAAGTAGTGTGAACCTGCAAGGGAAGGAGAGGTGCTGTCAGAGCAGTCAACAGACAAGAAGGTAGTTATTTGCACCTTTCCCAAAGTAGCACCAAGGTTAGTTCAATTCAGTTTTCTATTTCTTCTAGCCCCAGGAGGCAAAGCTTTGTGGTTTCTGTAAGTGGCCTGTCCTGCAGTAACAAGATTTTTCTACTGGAAAAATTTGTTGGATGGATTTTCTTTCTGTATTCAGCTTATCTTGCTAGTTACACGAATTTCCTTTTTGGCAACGCTCTCTTCGTCCACTTAAAAAGGTCAGCTGTCCACTAAATACTAGAGTTGTGCTCAGATTCTAACTGCAAATTGCACTAGCCGATGCAATTCCCACATCTGAATGCACAATTTGTGTAATTGTGCATGGAATTTGGATTTATGTCTACACTTACCTGCATTTCAGTTATCCTAATTGAAACATGTTCTGGTCCTTCAGATTTAGACTGTACATCTTATACAGTGACATTGTTCTGCCTACAGTTAGATCCACGTATTTTTAACACTCCTTCAGAGAAAAAAGATCAACTGTTTTCTGTCAGTGACCAGTCTGTGTGTTGCCATCCACACTTCTTTCTGTTCTGGAGTAGAAGGTAGGGTTAATGTATTTATGGTAGATGCCAGCTTTATGTAAGCTAATATGTAGGAAATACAGACAAAAAAGGAATTAAAGGGTGGTTACATTCAAGAAAAGAAGAAATAAAGGTGTATGCGTATTGCAGTATATCTTGCATTGGATTCCAGGTAATTACTTTCTTTCAGCTCTGGAATGTGCTTCTGATTTTTAAACATCATGCTTGCACCTGCTTTATCACAGTAAAGCACTTGCTTTTGGGAAAGGTTTGATTTGAACAGTTAAAAGAGGAGGATGTTTGGTGGGGATTTATTGTTTTGGGGTTTTTTGAGTGAAAATGTTTTCCTGCTTGAAGCTGGGGACATAGAATCTACAATTGCAGAATTATTAATATTAAGGCTGATTCTTGATGAGGTTTCTTAATTACTGAAAATTATGACCACTTCATCTAGGTCATTATTGGATTGTTATTTCCAGTATATAGAGCTAAAATCATAGAATCATAGAATAGTTAGGGTTGGAAAGGACCTGAAGATCATCTAGTTCCACCCCCCCTGCCATGAGCAGGGACACCACACACTAAACTATGTCACCCAAGGCTCTGTCCAGCCTGGCCTTGAATACCTCCAGGGTTGGAACATTCACAACTTCCTTGGGCAACCTATTCCAGTGCCTCACCACCCTCACTGTGAAGAACTTCTTCCTTAGATCTAACCTAAAGTTCCCCTGTTTTAAGTTTAAAGCCATTACCCCTTGTCCTACCACTAGAGTCCCTCCCCAGCATCCTTGTAGGCCCTTTTTGGATATTAGAAGGCTGCTATGAGGTCTCCACGGAGCCTTCTCTTCTCCAGGCTGAACAGCCCCAACTTTCTCAGCCTATCTTCATACGGGAGGTGCTCCAGTCCTCTTATCATCCTCATGGCCCTCCTCTGGACTTGCTCCAACAGCTCCATGTCCCTTTTATGCTGAGGACACCAGAACTGTACACAATATTCCAAGTGAGGTCTCACAAGAGCAGAGTAGAGGGGCAGGATCACCTCCTTTGACCTGCTGGTCATGCTTCTTTTGATACAGCCCAGGATACAGTTGGCTTTCTGGGCTGCAAGCGCACACTGCCTGCTCATGTCGAGTTTCTCATCAATCACCACCCCCAAGTCCTTCTCCACAGGGCTGCTCTGAATCTCTTCTCTGCCCAGCCTGTAGCTGTGCCTGGGGTTGTGCTGACCCAGGTGTAGGACCTTGCACTTGGCTTGGTTAAACTTCATGAGGTTGGCATTGGCCCACCTCACAAGCGTGTCCAGGTCCCTCTGGATGGCAAATAAATTCTCTTGGCTATATTCCAGTTAGCTTTTTCACTTTGGAATACTAAATGTATCTTAGTGCTGGATAACGCAGGCTGCATTAGTATGGTAATGAAAAAACATCCTATCAAGAATCAATGGGACTGTGAGTTAAAAACCCCAACAAACTCTCCATTTGTAACTGCAGATTTTGTATAGGTCTAGTTTCCTAGACCCATTGACTGTTTTTCATATACTGCATGCTGCTCATGCTAACTTGCTCAGAAAGTCCAGGAAGCTTTATGGAAATTGGGTAGAGGGCTTAAATGGCATGTATGTACTATGGCAAAGTCAGCAGAAATGTGACATTGTGCTCATATGCTACAGATTGAATTAGTACTGCCGGGTGATGTCAGCATGCATGTAATAAACCTGGAGGCACAGCTGAAGACTCTGATACTGTTTTCTTGTTAAGAGAATTTGTGGTTTTAAGAATAATTTGAGGTTTGTACTGAATTGCCTCATGCTATGAAGTTCGCTGTGCTAGAACCTGCTGACATTTTAAGCTATAGACTGAGAGCTGCCAAGTATGTTACTTTAGCTTGGAATATTGAGTTTCTTGGAAAGCCTTCAATTAATGTTCATATTTCTAGCCTGGTTTCGGCTGGGATAGAGTTAATTTTCTTCCTAGTAGCTGGTATAGTGCTGTTCTGGATTTAGGATGAGGATAATGTTGATAACACACTGATGTGTCAGTTGGTGCTGAGCAGTGCTTACACATAGTCAAAGCTTTTTCAGTTTCTCACACCACCCCACCAGCAAGGAGGCTGGGGGTGCACAAGAAGTTGGGAGGGGACACAGCCAGGACAGCTGACCCCAAGAGATATTCCACACCATATGGTGTCATGCTCAGTATATAAACTGGGGGAAAGTTGGCCAGGGCCTGCTGCTTGGGAACTGTCTGGGCATTGGTTGGCGGGAGGTGAGCAACTGCACTGTGCATCACTTGTTCTGTATATTCTAATTCTTCTGTTATTATTCCCCCCATCTTCCTTTTCTGTCCTATTGATCTCTGTTTATCTCAGCCCAGGAGTTTTAGCTTTCTCTGTGCCCAGGAGGACAGAGATACATGTTTCTTCAGTGCAAAGTTCATGTGTTTCGTCACTGGGTGCATGTCAGCCACAGAATTCCCTTCTTCACTTTTCTGCTTTCACTGACTACCTCCAACCTGTGATATCTGATAGATTGCGATGTTAGAGGAGATGAAAACAGGCCTTGGATGAAACCTTTCAGAATGAGGAAGGGTACTGCAGTCTTTCCCTTTGCTCATGCTTTCCACCTGGCTTTTCTAAATTGTCACAAGGCTCTGCTTAGTAATAAATAGCTCAAGGTAGATGGCCAGGAAAGGCCAACAGATGAGGAAGAACCCTTCCGTGTGTGGGGAGAGCATGAGAAGATGAAAGGCCATTTCCATTCTGGCCAGTAGGAGACAGAGAATCTGGAGGGAGAAGTCTGGTGGCATTAGGTCTGTTTTGCTGCCGGACGCTTCTACAGAGTAAAGTAAGGACCAGAGCTGTCTGGGGTGACACAGAGCTGCAGGCAAGACAACTCCCAGCTTTTTCATCTTACATGTATCGCTGGGGCGTACCTTGAGGTCCTCCAAAGGATCTTGTCACTTTTCAGTTACAAAATTTGTAGCAATTCAGAGTATTTTAGATAGGAAGCCATTTCATCCCTAATATCAGCTCAGCATTGAAATGGGATACTCCCTTGTGTACGATGTTAGCTAGTTTATGAGTTTGAGATAGGGAAATAAAACCAGTCTTGGATTTGTCAGTAGAAACCACTACTCTTTTCTCTGACATTATACAGAATCAGGAGTGCCTTTGTAACAGGATTAGCCAAGTTCATCCTGCAGGGTAGAGAGGGTAGTATTTGGCCATTCTTGTTTCATAGCAGCTCTTATCCCCTCATTCCTTAGAATCTCTTTCAAGTGTCTTTCTCTGACTCCTTTAAGCATAATAAAAGCAAGCTGAATACTGGAATGCCATTTTGTGGGACCAAGGATGGATTGCAAGATGAGTAAGGTGGTGTATAATGCTGGAAATGTTCATGTTGGTTTGTGGGTGCAGTGCTGTTTGTGGTTGCACTGTACTTTCCAGGGGCTAGAATTATGTGATGCCACGAATGTAGACTTGTTCTGGTAATATGATATGTTTGTTGAAAACAAAATGCAGCTATTTCTCTGAATGAAATACACAGTCGGTATCAGAAGGACTTTGCAAAGTGATAGTAAGTGTCTTTCTGTGAAGCTTTCCTCATGAAACGTAGTAGCTCCCTTATGCTTACTGTGGGCTAAGAATAACCTCATCAGAACTATTAACATTTGATAAATAACACCTTGTGCTGGTGGTCTCTAAACCACAGTGTTGGCAAAATGAGATTTGCCTACATGAGATAAGTGGGCAAATGGGATTTGAAGGTATTTAATCCTTGCCTCTTCTTAAACCTCCTGTCAAGCAGCAATGCTTTTTGAGCAAATCTCAGTGGGAAGAGGTCACAGTGACACTTCTTAATTTTTTTTCTTCCCCCTCCTTCATCTTTTGGTTGTGAGTGTTCTCTGTTGGTCTTCAACCTACAGCTGGGGCACCTTGATCCCAAAGGTAGAGGAAGAATTGGTTTTTGCCATTGTGGATATGTGGTGTTGCAGACTGCTTCTGGCAAGTTGACTGCTACATGACAGCTGATGGGATGATCAGAAGCGGTTTTGTGTGTGTGTGTGTGCCATGTGCCCGGAGTTGCAGCATAAGTCATGGTGTAGCTAAGTG